AATTGAGTTGTGTAGTGTAAGAATTGAACTTAGATGGTTGACTATAGGAGTGTAACATGCATGCATGCCTGCATATATCATAGCATTTAAGTTTGATTCTAAAGAATTTTCACATGCATGTGTCTATCTTGACTTGGTTTTGAGAATTCATCACATTTCTTACCATTTGACCTTAATTGATCATGTTTTGGAAAGTCAAAGGTCATAGTAATTCATGCATGTCATATTCATGGCATATTCATAAGTTTCAAGTTGACTTTTGAACAATTGGCATGCTATTGGACCTTGATTTTACAAAATGGTTTTGAATTCAAGATGTTTTCTAAGTTTAGACTTGTTTCCTCAAGTTTTGGGGCTTAAAGTTTTGGGGCTCTCAGAAGTTTACATGTTTTGCAAACCGCTCGAGCGACAAAAGTTGCGCTCGAGCGAAGACCTCAGTTACACACTCGAGCGACCGTCAAGCGGTCATTGAGCAAAAATTTCACACAACCAGTACTTTTGCAAAATTTACAGACCGCTCGAGCAAGGGAATCTGCGCTCGAGCGACCACTCACATTTTTGCATGTTCGCTCAGGCGAAGAAAGTTGCGCTCGAACGGGACCCCTATTTCCAGCACTTTTGACCAAGTGTTTACAAATGCATTTTGGCATCCATGTTGCATCCTAAGCATTCATATGCCAAGATTAAGACATAATGTGATGGATAAGGACTAGAAACACACTAAGAATGAAACGAAATAAGTTAAGTACGACCTGTGCGTGTGTTTCAAAATGTGTATTTGTTACGTTTGTGTAGGTCTTGTGCCATGAACTGTTGATCCATTGGCTGTTATCAAAGTTATCTGGTGTAATAATCTATGAGTAATAACTCTATAAAGTTATGTTTAACTTTAATTATTTTTCGATGATACGAAATGATCAATTTTCTGAAATGCTATATTTTGTAAGAATGAATGATTGTCCAAGTTTCTGAAATGTATTCGCGGCATCCTTAGCATCATATGATATGCGTTCCTTTATGGGTCATCGGAATGCCTTTATAGCCATTCCTTTATGGGTCATCGGATACGTCTCTCTGTACATGATTCATCGGAATATCTTTATGGTCGTCCCTTTATGGGTCATCGGAAACATCTCTGTACACATGAGTCATCAGAATGCCTTATGGCTGTCCCTTTATGGGTCATCGGAATGCCTTCATGGCCGTTTGTTCATGAGTCATCGGATTTGTTATGCTAATGGATGTGCCACGTACTATTATGTGAAATATATGAACTTTGAATGCGAATACGACTACGTTTATGAATTTGTTTCTGCTTTGACATCTGATCATGTACAAGACTCTGTTTCTGTATGGACATCATTCAGTAAAATCTTGATTCTATTATTATTCACTAGGCTTCTACTCACTATTTATATTATGTATGTAAGTGAGCAGGCACGTGACCAAGCCTAAGCTGTTGCTTGGAAAGTTTGGGTCATCTAGCCACCGTGCCTCCCTAGAGGTTCCCTTTTGAGATCCAAACAAGTTTTTGAGAAACAAGCCTTTGGGGCTTTTGTACTTTCTGATTTTTATATTTTGTCTGAACATGTTTTTGAAAATTCTATATAAGTGGCTTTGGTGACATATGACTAATCTATTTATATAACGTCTGTCTTATGTATCGAAGTTTTAAGTTTTTTTTTTCCATGTATGTCTACACAGCTCTATGGACTATGAATATTTCTATATTTGCTTTCACAGCTTCTTATCATATGATATTCAGGTCAGAGGCCTTTGGTAATCCCAGGATTACTAGCCAGTTACGACGCTAAACCTACAGAGGCGAGTTTGAGTCATGACAGAGAGGTATCAAAGCACAAGTTATATCATACATACGAGTCCATATGAGCTATAGGATGTCTTAGCCAAGAATTAGGGACATTTCATTTGTATGTGCGAGTGTGTTAATTTCTGTGAGTGCGAGAACTAAAACTGAATTTGAACTTATGAAGTTGAAAAGCATGAACTAAAACTATATACTCCAAGCATGGTGACAAGAATTATTGGCCTATGTTTATTATTGATTTGTTTACCTATAACAACATAGAGAATGCAAGGGGGAATGATACAAGTGAATCTTCTGAGGCCCGAATGAGTCGTATGGAACAGATGCTTGCAGCCCTAATTGAGGCAATGACACAACAACAGAGGCAACAACCTTTATCTCCTCCACCTCTGCCGGTACAAGTTGAACCGGATAACAATGACATTATCAACTTGACCCAAAAGTTCATGAAAATGAAACCACAAACTTTCTTAGGTGGTATTGAGCCGTTGAAGGCAGAAACATAGTTGCTTGAGATGGAAAAATTATTTGAGGTCTTTCTTGCTCTGAGACTCAAAAGGTTCTTTTGGCCACCTACACCTTCACCTTAAAAGATGAAACTCGTAGATGGTGGTTACTAATCCGAAGTAGGAATAAAAATATGACATGGGCTTATTTCAATGAGATCTTTTATGACAAGTACTTTCCCTAATGCTTCAGGGATCGAAAAGTGTCAGAATTTCAAGAACTCAAGTAAGGCAGGATGTCAGTGGCCGAATATGAGGCCAAGTTCACTGAATTAGCTTGTTTTGCCCCACGCATGGTGGACACAGATTATAAAAAAGCTCAGAAGTTTGAAAGAGGACTGGATCTAGATGCGTTTGATCGGGTAGGTGTTTTAAAGCTACCCACATATGTGGATATACTTGATAGAGCCCTCATGGCTGTAGCCAACGTAGCCGCAAAGAAACAGATTAACGCTCCAACAACTAAATGGAGGGATAAGAGATCGGATCTAATTTTAAAAGTGGGCGATCATTCTCAAAGAAGCAAAATATGGGATCTTATAGTAGCTCAAGCCAAAGTAGTGGATCTGTACCGACTTGCCTAGAATATGGTAGGAAACATAAAGGGGGCTTGTTATTGAGCGTCGGGTGCCTGTTTTAGGTGTGGTAAACCGGCCATATGATGAGAGATTGTCCTATCAGGCTCGAAAATACCAACTGTCCAGCAGCAAGTTCAGCCGGATCTGCTTTTGCATCAAGAATGAATACGAAAGCTAACACCGAGAAGGAAACCTTAAGGCAGGGTCAAGTATTTTCACTTATACCTGGTGATGTGCAGAACATCGAATCTGTGATGTCAGGTATAGTCTCTATTTGTGCTCAAAATTCTTATGTGTTGATCGATTCTTGTTCCACACATTCATTTGTATTGCATGCTTTTTCTTGAAAGTTAACAAGACCATTAGAACCCATGAACTGTGTATTGTCTGTGTCTACCCTATCTAGAGGTTCTATGATATGTGCTTATGTATATCCGGCATGTGATATTATGATTGGTGATATGACATTGTACGCTGATTTACTGCCTTTGAGCATTGATAATTTTGATTGCATTCTAGGTATGGATTGGTTAACAAAATACTATTCCGCCATTGATTGTATGAGTAAATCGATCATGTTTAGACCACCTGGTATGCCTGAGTTTGTTTTCACTAGAAATAGGGTAGTTCCTCAGCTATATTTGATTTCATTTATGAAAGCCAGGAAGTTGTTGAGGAATGGGTGTCGGGGTTACTTATATTGCATTTTGACTGTGACTTCTGATAACTCTATTATTGAGAACACCTCTGTAGTAAATGAATTTCCTGATGTATTTCCTAATGACCTATCTGGGGAGTTAATTGATAGGGAAATCGAGTTCACCATTGATGTGGTACCCGAGACATAACCAATTTCTAAAACCCCATACAGAATGTCCACCTCTGAATTGAAAGAATTGAAAACTCAACTTCAGGTATTGTTAGATAAGAAGTTTATCCGCCCGAGCACTTCACCTTGGAGTGCTCTAGTGTTATTTGTCAAAAGGAAAGACGGGTCTTTGAGGCTATGTATTGACTACCATGAATTGAACAAAGTAACTGTCAAGAACAAGTACCCACTACCCCGAATAGATGACCTGTTTGATCAACTTCAAGGAGCACAAGTGTTCTCTAAGATAGATCTTAATCCGGATATCTCCAGCTAAAACTGAAAGCAGAAGACATTGAGAAAACTGCTTTTCGAACTAGATATGGGCATTATGAATTCTTAGTCATGCCATTTGGGGTAACTAATGCACCTACAACATTCATGGACTTAATGAATAGAGTGTTCAAACAATTCCTTGATGAGTTTATTGTTGTTGTCCATCGATGATATATTGATTTATTCTAAAAGCAGGGAAGAACATGAAAATCATTTGAGAATTGCTTTACAGACCCTAAGGGAAAAAAAGTTATATGCAAAATTTTTCAAATGTGAATTTTGGCTTGATAGTGTGGCATTTTTGGGGCATGTAATCAACAAGGATGGTATCTTTGTTGACCCATAGAAAATTGAAACTATTGTGGAATGGCCTAGATCGAAAAATGTATCAGAAGTTCGAAGTTTTCTGGGACTTGTAGGCTATTATCGTAGATTTGTGAAAGATTTTTCCAAACTTGCTTTGCCACGCACTCAATTGACATAGAAAGCTACACCATTTGATTGGAATGATCAAAGAGAGACTGCCTTCCAAGAGTTAAAGACCAGGTTAGTAACTGCACCAATTTTGACTTTGCCTAATGGTACTGATGGGTTTTAAATTTACAGTGATGCTTCCTACAAAGGCTTGGAGTGTGTGTTGATGCAAAATGGAAAAGTGATTGCTTATGATTCTTGACAACTTCACCCTCATGAAAAAAACTATCTAACCCATGACCATGAATTAGCAGCTATGATATTTTCTTTGAAAATTTGGCGACATTATCTATACGGTGTGACTTGTGAAGTGTACACTGATCATAAAAGCCTAAAATATTTCTTCAGCGAAAAGGAACTAAACATGAAACAAAGATGATGGCTTGAGTTTATCAAGGATTACGACTTGCAAATCTTGTACCATCCGAAAAAAAGATAATACCGTTGCGGACGCCTTGAGCTGGAAATCAATGGGTAATTTGTCATGTTTACTCAATAGTCAGAAGGAGTTAATATGTGATCTAGAAAGGAATGAGATTGAAATTGTACTGCATGAACAAGGTGGGATCTTTGCCGCCATTTCTGCACGACCTGTAATCATCGAAGAGATTAGAGAGAAACAACTACAAGATGAATTCCTGAAAAAGATTATGGATGACATAGACTCAAAACCGAAGCTAGGATTTGTGTTGGAGAATAATGGGCTAAAATTCCAGAATAGACTTTGTGTTCCTGATTGTTTGGATTTGAGAAAACGTGTTATGTCTGAAGCCCACACCTTTGAATTTTCTATACATCCAGGGAATACAAAGATGTACCATGACTTGAAACAAAATTTCTGGTGGCTGGCAATGAAGAAAAGCATTTCCGATTTTGTGGCTCAATGGTTGCATTGCCAACAAGTTAAAGCTAAACATCAATGACCTGCCGAATTGCTACAACTGCTTCCAATACCAGAATGGAAATCGGAACATATCACGATGGACTTCATTGTGGGATTACCCCAATCTCCTCGAGGTATGGACTTTATCTGGGTAATTGTTAATCGTTTGACTAAATCCACACATTTCTTACCTGTCAAATCTTTGTATAATGTGGATAAGTTGGCTAACTTGTTTGTTAATGAGATTGTGAGATTACATGGTGTGCCAGTATCTATTGTATCTGACAGAGATCCTAAGTTTACATCAATATTCTGACAGAGTCTATAGCAAGCTCTAGGGACTGAATTGAAACTAAGCAGCGCTTATCACCCACAAACAGATGGCCAATCTGAACGGACCATTCAAACATTAGAAGACTTGTTACGGATGTGTGCCCTAGATTTCCAAGGCAGTTGGGAAACCTACTTACCATTGGCCGAATTTGTGTATAACAATAGCTACCATTTGAGTATCGACATGGCCCCTTATGAAGCTTTGTATGGTAGAAAGTGCCATTCTCCGATTTGTTGGGCCGAGATAGGTGAAAGACCGTTGTAGACATCCCATTTTTGACCACCCTTAAGACTTGGGCGCTACTAATTGATCACTCGATGATGAAAGTTGTGCTATGAAAACGTTCAATTTTTCAGCAAGAAGAGCTTCTAAATCCCAATCTCACACCCCATTTTTCACCAAAACTATTTTGACCAAAACTTTTTTTAGACCTCAAAACCCTCATTTTTCAAAATACTTTTGAAAAGGTTTCTATGATGTTCCGAGGCTCACATTTCGTTGAAAAAGTTACACTTTTCAGTAAATCGAGTAAGGACAAAGTGGAGATAAATGAAATGGAGGTGAACTCTTTGAATTTTTTTTTTAAAATATCTTATTTAAATGTTTGGAGTTGAAGCAAATAAAAGAGGAGAGAAGAAAACTCGTCGGGGGAAAGGTTAGGCATCAATCCGTTAGGACAAAACTAAGCAGCCTTCACTAAAATAGGCATATCTATTTTCACACTTAGAATTTAGATGTGAGGCCACCACCATTGGAAACTAGACTTCCGGGGCTTCCATTCAGACTCAAGAATGACCTGAAAAAGAGTCCGAACGAAAGAGATATGCCTATTTCAAGTCGGGCCTGGGAAGTAGATTTTTGTGGCCGGCCACTAATGTGTCCTACCGGCCACCTGTAGGGGGCACCCCATTTTCGACCGACCTTAAGAATTAGACATCATTGTTTGTGCACGCGATGATTGTGCATGTTTGCGCTCATTTTGAGTGCCCGAAGGTCTCGGCCGAGCACCTTGTCTTTGTGCCTCTAAACTCTCTGTGTTTTGGCCTTGTTTTTGGGCCAAACTTTGGTGCCTCTTTCCTGGAGGGGAGAAGGGCCTTGCCGGCCACTTTTGACTATTGCCGACCACTTTTCCTTCTTTCCAGACACTTGAAGTGGCCGGTCGGCTAGGGGAGGTGGCCGATCGGCCACCTGAAGTGGCTGACGGCCAATTTTCTCCTTTTTTAGATATTTTCAGATCTTTTAAGCCAGCTCTTGAACACAAAAGCTCATCCTCCATACGTTGTATGTAGAGATGAAGCAAGCTTTTTGCTTGCTTGTTCTATATAAGGGGAGGTCCCTCTCCCTATTTGGGGCTTCTGAAATTTTTGAGACAAAATTTCACACCCTCTCTCTAGAACTCTCTCTATCTCTCTATATATATATATTGCTTGAAAGTGAGTTTTCTTTGCATTTTTGCACACAACCTCTTAGCCAAACACCACTACCTTGTTGCTGAGGTTCTTGAGGGCTTTGTTTGGGCTCAAGAAGCTGGTTTTAGCTCAGAGTTGCAGTTGTTTAGCTGCTGTGCTTCAAGGGTAAGCATATACTTTTTTTAAGCTTGTTTTTGTACACTAGTTTGAGCTATCTTTGCATGCTGTTTTGGCCTAGTTGTCAACTACAAAAACCTCTATTTTTAAATGTTAAAAATGGTTGTTTGAGGCCTTTTTGGGGTTAGGGTGGTCCACCCTCATTTGTAGCTTTATTTGCTAAGCTTGGTGACATCATTTAAAGCTTTTAAAGCATCCTTTGTTTGGTCTTTCTACCACTGAAACTCATAAGTTTTTCAGTGGTAGAAAATTGGTTTTGAGGACCAAAATAGGAGGGGGTGGTCCCCCTTCCTCACATCTTGTTTGCATGTGTTAATGGCCTAATAGTTGAGCATGTTTTTTTACCATCTCTTGGCTTGTTCTTAGCATGTTTTTGGGTTTATTTTAACATGTTATAACTTTGTTTTGGGCTGGTCAGAGCACCTCTTGTTTGCTTCTTACACTTGTAGTGTAATCATGCTTGTTAGCCTAGCTTACTTGATGTTGTAGCCTATTATTTTAGCATGTGTTGGCTCCACTCCAGCACATTTTTGCTCTTGTTTTGACATGCTTGAACTCTGTTTTGAGTGGTCTTGATCATATGAGGCTTGCTTTGCATAGCTATAGTGTAAATAACCTTAACTAGCTTTGAGTTTCAAGGTCTTTAACATGCTTTGCTTGAGTTATTCGCATGCCATAACATCATTTCACACATGATTTCAGTGCATGTAACCTTGTCACACCCTCACATACTTCACTTCTTCATTGCCTTTGAGGGTTGTGTATTGTGCCTTGCTTATGAGCTAACATGTGTGCATGTTCTCCTAGTCTTTTGAGCTTCTATTCCAACATGTTTAGGCCATTATTTTGGCATGTTTAAGCTCTGTCCAGTGCTGGTTTGGTTGTTTGAGCATGGTATTGCTTGCCTCTAGTGTTATGCACTTCACTAGCTTTGTTGTTTTTGGCTTCAAACATGTTGTGCATATGTTGATTGCATGATTTAGTGTCTTTAGCATGCCATATTAGCACTGAATTTCTACAATCTTCCTCCGTGCTTCACTTTTGAATTTGATTTTGAAAGTGGTCTTAAGCCCCTTGTTAGTTTAAGCATGGAATTGAGACTCTCATGCCTAATGGTTTTAGCCTTCTCTTGAGGGTTTCTACTAACCAGAAGCATGAGGCTTCTTTCATGCTTAAGGTGCTTGTGGCTTAGACTATCTTTCCCATTAGTGGACTTTTCACATTGGACTTAATCAGTTAATGAATGGCTCAGTAATGTAAAATGTGTAAATAAGAAATGGACCAAGTAAAACTTGTGAAAGATAAGCATGTGTGTTGCATTGCATGTGTTTGGATCGGACCTTAATCCAAACAGGAAGAATGAGGGACGTTTCATACTCAAAGTGATGAAGCATGTCACATTCCTTGGTCGCCAACACCCTTGATCATGCATGATAGGGTCAAGGCACTTTGTATGTTGTTTGTGCATTCACTAAGCTTATGCAAGCTTGGCTTTCGGGCCATCATGCATTGAGATGCTTGGTTGGTGGCTCGAAAACCGAGCGCCACACTCCTTTGAGCTTGAGACATGATGAGGAGTGTGGCAGTGCATACATTTTCTTGCAAATACATTGTTGTGCCCCTGTTGTCCTCTGTTGCAGTAAAACCAGAAGTTTGGAACAGCAGGTGGCCAACCAGCCAGTTCAAGTAGCCAATTGGCCACTTTCACTAGCCGGCCGGCCAGTTAAGGTGGCTGGCAGCCACTTTTTGTGGCCGACCAGCCACCAATCCAATTTTGTACAGAAAATGATCCTGTTTTGGAGCAGAAACAGTGTGGAAGTTGGTTCAATGTTCAGAAACCAAGGCACGTGCAAACAGAGGCAATTGACAACAAAGCATTGGATTTCCAAGCAGGCACTAACCAAGCATGCATGTCTTCCTTGCCTGCGAGGCCACTTTAATTGCTTTAATTAGTTAGAGTAGCCAATTAATTCATTTTGTTTTGTAATATTTTAATTAGCTTAGCATAGCTAGTTATTGAATTCGGCATGTAATAATTAATTAGCCAGCAAAGTTAATTAGTTGGTTTGTAGTAAGTAGCTTAGCTCAGTATAGCTTAGCTTATTTATTCGGACCCTCTATAGATGCGTCTGTGGGCCTCATGCTACAGTTCGGACTCAAATAGTCACGGTCCTGTATCTAATCTTGCAGAGTGCAATGCAAGACCGATGAATCATCAAAGAGTCCAAATCCGGCAAATCGTTTTGAAAAATCGATTTTTTAGAAAGAAGTGCCAAACATGGACTACTTTGCCAGATACAGAGTCGCCACCTAAATATTTATTTTGGGGGAATTTAGGAAACCCTGACTCGTTGCCTAAGGCCACGTGTCCGTCATTACCAAAATTGCCTCGGCTCAGGAACTTGGGTACGATTGGGGAAGGTCAGCTATGAGCACCCCCGCTCGCCTGATCTCGGCTCGGGAACTTGGGTACAATTGGGAAAGGTCAGCTATGAGCACCCCCGCTTGCCCGATCAAAGATCGGTCTCTACTAACCATGATATCAAATTTTGAAAACATTATGTGTTCTTATTCCGGTTATTAGCCTAGAATTACTAGGTGACGCGCACAACACAAAAGTATAGACTAGATTGCCTAATTTGGAACAAAGCATCGCATCTCCATTGTTTGGAAATGATTTGAGGTTTGCTACTCGTAAGTAGGCTAAAATACGGATTTCGATGAATTATTCCAATTCAAACAATCCAACCTTCACCCACGGACATTGAGGCAGTAAATCAACTAAGCGGTTAGCCTCATGGCAAGCATGCTTTCATGTTAACATTCACACTCATGCGAGATGCTAAAGCATAAACACTTATCGAGTACTCTAAGCCAAAACAGAAACTAGTTAGTAATTGATGCATGATCGTAGTTCATGTTAAGATGACTAATGCAACACATGCAAAATGCAACTCAGATAAGCTCAGCTATTCTAAACATGGCATATGAAATGCAATAGCTAACAAGTATTCAACTCGGAATTGAAATACCATGCAGTTAGTATGATGCGCCGAGCCCGGTGCATGCAAGACAGATGAATGAATGCAAACATGCTATCATAAGTATGCTAATTGAAAC